TGCACCCATGCATCTATATGCACCATGCATCTGTGCGCACCCATGCACCCACGCATCTGTATGCACCCACGCATCTGTGTGCACCCATGCACCCATGCATCCATTCACCCCCATCCAGCCAGTCAGCCAGTTAGTCAGTCATCAAGTCAAGATTTTTGGCATTTGCTACATCCAGATTTATCTAATAAAATTCAATATTTGAAAGTAAGGACTTACGATTTATCTTGAATAAGGAATGAAATACCTTGAGTTTTTAGCTTATATGTCAGAAAAAAAATCTAATGTCACCTTGAGGATAAAGGCATTAACAGTTAAAGATTTAATAGAGTATGTAAAGTTGAAATGGTTAACGTTTTGAAACAGCACGTCCTAAGAGGAAGATAAGAAAATGATCAAATACAGGCCCTTCAGTTTATGAACTCAAAACGAAACCAGTCTGCTGATGAATAAAATATATTTTCTGGATATAAAAAAGATATTACATATGAGATTTCAAGGAAATGAGAATCTAGACTGAGCTCTTTCCAAAGTCTGGGCAATTTATGCCTATTGTATTATCCCACCCCCATGCTTTGTTTATATACCAAAGTAAGAAAGATAATAAATTACAAAATAATGCCTTCCAAACTCCAAAGGGACAGCAATAACGTTCATAACAGTACAGTGTGTCTTCATTAATTTTAAAGTCAGCACATGAAGAATTAGGTATCATTGTGAAGCTTTCATACGTTTATTTCATAATACTTTGTTCGTAGTCTGCTCCCCCGTGGCTCCTCTCCCATGCCCACTCCCCCATGGCCCATCCCCATCGCCCTTCACCCATTTGCTGATTCCTTTAACCCCTCCCCCCTCCACAGGCAGGTACTGATTTCTGCTTCCATGTCACACATACTCAATTGCTTTATTTCCTTCCCCCTCCGTCTTTTAAGATCCTTTCTGCCTATCTCATGGCCCCCTTTCTTAGCTTATCACACATACACTCAAGTTCAAAGATTTAGACACAGACACAAACATGGACAGACACACACACACACACAGACACATACACACCTAATTTCACGTAGGAGAGAAAATGTCTTGTCTAGCTTACTTTCCTTAACATAATGGTTTCCAGTTTTATCCATAGCTTTATGTTTTTTATTTTGAAATGAGGTTTTGCTATGAAGCCCAGGCTTGCCTTGAACTTACTCTTTTCTTGTCTGACCTTCCAAGAGTAGCCATGACTCCTGGCAGGGTGAGATAATTCTGGATTATCAAGGAGTGAGGCGTGACAGAGGCCCCACTGGGAATCTGAGGGTAGAGGGATCAGGTTTCTCCGGTGTGTACACAGGGAATCTGGGGTCATATTCCCTAGCGTGTGCAGAACCACTAGTGCATTTCCAGTAGTGCTTGCACCAGTCATTTACAAGGAAACGTGATTCTCAAAGCTCTGTGGAAATGGATTTGCTCAGGCAAGACCTGTTTCCTATAGGGAAACGTTCCTAATTTCATACTGGAGATTGGGGAAACTAGCCACAGGGTTACTTTGCAAAACCTTCCCATCCGGACTCCAAAATTAAAGCTACTCTGATGAGAATCTCAAGCATCGTCTGGGTCATATTACATAAACCAGGTTGGATTTTAGAAAACGAAATGCCCTAATTTTTATACATTACTAATAGAATATAGGTTGTGACTACTCTCTGAAAATTTTTAGTCAATACCACAGTGTTGCAGCTTCTAGTGCATTCAGGTGAACACTTTCTAGTTTCAGAACGGTTCAGAGAAAAAGGTACTCATTTATTTTAATAAAGGGTGCCTTACATTTCATAGTATTTTATTTCACTTTTATGCGATTTTCCTTGGTGTCTGAGGGTTTATACTGCCGCCGTGATACACCATCACCAAAAAGCAAGCTGGAGAGAAAAAGGTTTATTTGGCTTATACTTCCATATCACTGTTTATCATCGAAGGAGGTCAGGACAAGAACTTAAAACAGGGCAGAAACCGGGAGTCAGGAGCTGAGGTAGAGGCCTTGAGGGAGTGCTGCTTGCTGTCTTGCTCAGTCCATGAGGCTGGATGTCTCAGCTGGTCTTCAGTATATGCTAGAATCCAGACTCTAATGCCAGAGAAGGAATGAACTTGCTACCAGGTGAGTGTAAGTAGGCAAAGAGCAAAAGCTTCCTTCTTCCACGTCCTTATATAGGCTTTCAGTAGAAGGTGAGGCCCAGAGTAGGGATAGGCTTTCCCTCCACATACAATCTAAATGAAGGCATGTCTTCCCAGCCCAAGATCTAGATCAGAAGTAGATCTCCCTATTTCAAATTAAGCAAAAATCCCCCTTCTCCCATATGCTCCTCTGCTTGAGAGTTTTAGTTAACATCAGATGTATTCAAGTTGACAAATAGCAGCCATCACAAGTCAACTTGACACACAGGCATTCATTAATTCTGTCATAATTAATTTTCAAATGAGAACAATAACCAGGTCATTATAATTCCAAAACGTTATATAACTATTGCACGCAAATGTATACACATTCCATATTTAGGTGATAATTATGTCTAACATGTTATAGCCATCTCTTGTACAACTGCAAATGCATTATGAGTTTAGAATAGTTTAGAATGTCCCTTGATGGACATTCTCTTAGTATCTCAAACTCAAAGATGATAGCCATTGATATTTTCTTAGGACTGATCGTACATCACATGATAAGGAAATTGAGGTAAGAAAACACAGATAACTGTACAAACTCACTCTTGCCAAAATATAACAGAAATACTCCTGTCAACTCTAAGTCTCATTTCTGTAGCTTGTCATGTGGCCCTAGCTGGCATTTAGAACTACCCTTCTTTACTGCCTAGTTCTTTACATGTATTTGCCCCACCCACAGCAAGCACTTGAGCATGTCGTGACTCCTTTTCTGGAGGAGTGATACACAACTTCATTCCTGAAGGGTCTATGGTATGCTCTTTGCCATACTGCCTTGATTAGGCAGTTATAGTTTCCCTTTGATTTCAATCACAGGACATGGTAGCACCAAGAGATGGCCTAAAGTATCTCCCACACTCCAGATATAATCTTTCTCACTGCCATTGTGGAGAAGCAATCCAGTCTCTCCATGGTAATAATAGTATTATTCTTCTCTTAGCCTGTGGGTTTAAGGGCATTCGAAGCCCTTACTGGAAATTCTGTACTTCCAGTTCAATGCAGTGTTTGTTGTAGCTCCTGACTAGTGTGCTCTCACCTCTGAAACCAAAATTTCTAGGCCAGTAGAACTTACTGACATGGGAACAGGAAGCAAAAACATTTTCTAGTGGGTCACTAGAGGTGATAGTGAGGGGCACTATTTCCCCATTCACTCCTTGATTACTGGATCCATGGATTTTGGCTGTGGGAGAAACTGTACCATATATTGGACATAGACTCAAAGCATATATTGCTTTCTGGAGAACCATGCCCTGTCCTCCAGGCTGATGCCACCTAGTTGGCACTGTCAATGTATCTTCAAAGGGCCATTCCATCTTTCTATCCATCTAGTTATTTCAGAATTGTGAGGAACAAGGTAACATCAGTGGGTTCCATGACCATGGGCCCAATCTCACTCTTTTCTGTCTGTGAAATGAGTTCACTGGTTACAAGCGATACTGTGTGATGTGAAATACTACGGTGTTGGATAAGGCATTCTGTGAGTCCATGGACGCTGATTTTAGCAAAAGCACTACATGCAGGAAAGGCAAATCCATAACCAGAGTAAGTTTCAACTCCAGTAAGGACAAAGTGTTGTCCTTTCCATCGAGGAAGTGGTCCATTGTAGACAACCTTCCACCAGGTTGCTGGCTGGTCATCCTGGGGAATGGTGCCATTTATCTGGGCATCAGTGTTGGTCTCTGCTATTGATAGATCTGGCACTCAGCTGTAGCCAGGTTAGCCTTGATGAGTGGTAGTCCATGTTGCTGAGCCCACACATAGACCCCATCTCTGCCACCATGCCCAATTTGTTCATGTGTCCACTGGACAACAACAAGATTGGCTGAAGAAAGAGGTTGACTGTCCACAGAACAAGTCATCCTCTCTACTTGGCTATTGGACTCCTCAGCTAAAGTCACCTTTTGGTGAACATTTACGTGGGACACAAATATTATCACATCCTCCAACCATTTGGAGAGATCCATCCACACACCTCTTACCCCCATGTCTTTATCACCAATTTTCTATCCATGATCTTTCCAAGTCCCCGAACACCAGGCAATCCATTAGCTACAGCCCACGGGTCAGTGGACCGTCGTATATCTCGCCACTTCTCCTTCCAAACAGACTGTATGACCATGTGTTTCTGCCCACTGGGAAGATTTCCCTTCACCAGTGTCTTTCGGGGTTCTCCCAGGAAGGGGTTCTAATGCTGCACCACTTCCGGGTAGTGCCTGAGTAATTAACAGAACCGCCGGTAAACCAGACCCCGGTCTTCTCAGTCAATTGATCATAGGGAGCATGCCATGAGCCCCTAGGTACGTACTTGGCAGCAGACAGCACTGTGCTGGGAATAGAAATTATAGGCATTTGGACACCTTCTTCATGTAGTTTGCTCGCGAGACAGCCAAGAATAGCCATTGCAGTAAATATTGTTACTGCACTGAAATCAAGCTGGTATCCAGGGTAAGGAGCCTGGACTTCATTACAGAGGTTGAGGGGTTGTGATCTGAACCCAAGTCTCTCTAACTGCAAAGTCTCTTCTTACTGTTTTGCCCTCCTTCCTTCTTCCTTTCCTTCCTTCCCAGAACTTCCACTCTCGATTTCATTTCTTAATTTGCAGGTCCCAATCACTGAGCATCCTGTTCTTGTCTGAAACGTTAAATGAGTAAACAGTCTGCACACCTGTGTATTGGGAAAACTCGGCTTACTTACTTTGTTTTAGGACACATTTATACACAACCCTTTGTTCCTCCATGAAGAAGGTTAAATGGGAGACAGAGGAGTGGCACTTCCCAGTGACTCTGTCACCCTGTAGACAATTGGCAGCAGGCGAGCAGCAGCTGCCAACCCTCTTCAGATATCTCTCTATTTAAAGTTCAAAGAGGCACAGGATAACAATAAGGAAGAAAGACGCGTGGCCCTGACTAAGCCACCCAACAATAGAAATAATGGCTGAAAAAGGTAAGCTGTAGAAGCGTGGGGATTTCTTGGCAAAAACAACTTCCTGACTTCTTAGTTTCTTAGCATTTTGATCTTGAGGAAGGTAGGCTCCCTGCTAAAGAACCAGTAGCTGTGTGTTTCTGCGTGGCTGTAAAAAGCTACTAAGTATGCAGAGTTTGGGCTACGTAAGATGAATAACTTTGAAATGATCTGTGAAACATTATAGTTTCATACCTGCTTTCTTGGAAAAGTGAATTATAAACTACTTATTTCTCAGTATTGAACTGTACTTGAGATCTTGGGGTTTTTGGTCCAGAAAAGTGAGAGCAGTTAAGTTCTTCATCAGATTTGCAGGATGGCTGTGTAAATCTGGGGAAGTCTTCCCACTTCTGAGTCTGGATTATGACTGTCAAATGAGAATATTGAGCTTACTCATATCTGATATGGTTCATTTCTGAAATATTTTTTCTAATTCTTGAATTTTATTCATATGCTTCTATAAAATAATTGATTCCAATATGAATAAATAGATAGACTGAATATAGTTTTAAATACATATGTGGCATCTTTGCTTTCAACTCTGTCAACAATCAACACCATGAGACATGCATATAATATCACCCCCATTTTCCACTTAAGGAGACTGAGACATAATGAAGTTTAGTGTGTGTTCATGGTCACTAGATTGTGATGGCACTAGGATCTACAGTGAATTCCCCCAAGGATGCTTCCAGTGGTACCCACTTAGGCAATCTCGGAACCAGACAAACAGTAAAGCATTTGAAAAGGCTCTTGCATTTAAAGGGAAGATTTATTCTTATTTTTGCCATTAATGTAAGTGATCTAGGAAGAACATTGGGTTTCATATATTGCCATTTCCAAATGATGCATCAAATTATGGTAGAACTGAAAATATTGGTGCTAAAAGATGACCAATGCAGCTATACTTGGTTAAAATGCACACATACTTGCGTTGTTTACAATGCATAACAAATAAAGGGATATTTACTTTTAGAATTTGATGATGTGCAAATGTTATTAAAACAGGTGTTATAAAATTTTATTAAAATACACTTGTATTAAACATTTATACGAATGTATAATGTTTGAAACAAATCTGTTAATTTTCAAGTTCTTCGAAGTTGATGTAAGTGCTGTATCACTTACATAAATAATTAAAAAATACTGGCTTGTACTTTCGCTCTAATGGTGTCTTAATTCAAAAAAATTCTTTCTCCCAAATGAGACTGAAGTATGTCTCATAATCTTTGCTTTACCCTCAGAGCAACAGCACCTGGCAGGTAAGGAGGAGGTTTCTCCCTTCCGTGCATCCTGCCTTGTTCAAGGTCACAATTAGGAGAAGCAAGAAAATCCCATTTTGGCAGATAAGAAAGACTTCAACCTTCCATGAAAAGCATTGAAACTATTATAATTCATTTAAGCTTCAGAAAGTTGGCTATTATGAAAGTATCTTCTAATTTTAGAAGTTCCTCATCTCCTGATGTCTTTATTTTAACAGCATTAACCACCTTTCACATTTGAAGTGATGGAAATTGTAATGGGACTGCAATTGCTAAGAACATCCATTCTTTCTCTTAGCTAATGGCATATGATCTCATTGTGTTCTTCAATTAAGACCACATCTTAGTCCTTAACACAGAGACATTAATTCTATAAGATGTTTTTCTGTGCTGCTTTTCAGTTTGTGTGTGTGTGTGTGTGTGTGTGTGCGTAGTATATGCCTGTGCATTTACTGAATGAGCAAGAGTAACATAAAGTGTTACAGAAGACTATGTATATAAATTGCTTTTTAACAGACCAGGTACAAACAGGAGATGAAGCACTATACAAGAGTCTTTCGAGTGTATTGGGTTATTATTGCCCATAGTCAAGCTCAGCACTGGTAGAGATAGAGAATGATTTTAAAGAAATAAATCCCTTTTTTTTCTGATGATGATTATGTAAGCATGATGTTTTCTTTATCCTGTGAAATTTAAGATCAAAGTCAGCTATTGAGATCAAGAGCCATTCTCAAAACAACCTAGTCTTTTGTGTTATGAGTGATTCAGTTTAGTAGGAATTACCTCACAGTTATGTTATGAGTAATTCAGTTTAGTAGGAATTACCTCACAGTTATGTTATGAGTGATTCAGTTTAGTAGGAATTACCTCACAGTTATGTTATGAGTGATTCAGTTTAGTAGGAATTACCTCACAGTTATGTTATGAGTAATTCAGTTTGGTAGGAATTACCTCACAGTTATGTTATGAGTGATTCAGTTTGGTAGGAATTACCTCACAGTTATGTTATGAGTAATTCAGTTTAGTAGGAATTACCTCACAGTTATGTTATGAGTGATTCAGTTTAGTAGGAATTACCTCACAGTTATGTTATGAGTAATTCAGTTTAGTAGGAATTACCTCACAGTTATGTTATGAGTAATTCAGTTTAGTAGGAATTACCTCACAGTTATGTTATGAGTGATTCAGTTTAGTAGGAATTACCTCACAGTTATGTTATGAGTGATTCAGTTTAGTAGGAATTACCTCACAGTTATGTTATGAGTGATTCAGTTTGGTAGGAATTACCTCACAGTTATGTTATGAGTGATTCAGTTTGGTAGGAATTACCTCACAGTTATGTTATGAGTGATTCAGTTTAGTAGGAATTACCTCACAGTTATGTTATGAGTAATTCAGTTTAGTAGGAATTACCTCACAGTTATGTTATGAGTGATTCAGTTTGGTAGGAATTACCTCACAGTTATGTTATGAGTGATTCAGTTTGGTAGGAATTACCTCACAGTTATGTTATGAGTGATTCAGTTTGGTAGGAATTACCTCACAGTTATGTTATGAGTGATTCAGTTTGGTAGGAATTACCTCACAGTCATGTTATGAGTGATTCAGTTTGGTAGGAATTACCTCACAGTTATGTTATGAGTGATTCAGTTTGGTAGGAATTACCTCACAGTTATGTTATGAGTGATTCAGTTTGGTAGGAATTACCTCACAGTTATGTTATGAGTGATTCAGTTTGGTAGGAATTACCTCACAGTTATGTTATGAGTAATTCAGTTTAGTAGGAATTACCTCACAGTTATGTTATGAGTGATTCAGTTTGGTAGGAATTACCTCACAGTTATGTTATGAGTGATTCAGTTTGGTAGGAATTACCTCACAGTTATGTTATGAGTGATTCAGTTTAGTAGGAATTACCTCACAGTTATGTTATGAGTGATTCAGTTTAGTAGGAATTACCTCACAGTTATGTTGGATTGTTGTTATGTAAACAGTTGCTGCAAGACCCATCGCTGGGCAAACTCATGAGTGTGTTCTTTGTCCACTAAACACAGGCACGGTGGGTCAAGTTTACGAAGCTTTGCACACACTGTAATTTGACTGACGAAGCAGTCAGGAGGTGGATATTTCAAGTTTCACTACCCAGCAGGATGCTTCAAGTTCAAAATTGCACAAGTTCATGGAACTGTAAAAGGGTGACCTGTGGTTTGAACCCAAGGCTTATATTTCAAATGTCTAGGATTTAAAATTCAGTTGCAGGGTGTCTTCTGAAGAAAACAAGACAAAAATATTCATGTGTGAGCCTGATCAGAGTGCACTTTTTCTTAGCTCCCCCAGAGATCTTTTGTCATTTTGCTTTATGAAGTTTAATGCCGGAAGGGTCTGTGTAATTTGTTTTCATTGCTTTTAAGCAGAGTCAACATCACCACAGCTCATGGTTCCCATTCTTCTCCTGGTTGGATGGATTGTAGGCTGTATCATAGTGGTTTACATTGTCTTCTCCTAGAAAAGTAAGCTTTTTAATATGGATGTTTCTTTATAATTGTTCTAGAATTGATCTTTTCTGTTTTACTAAAGAAGTGTTTTCTCCTTCAGGCAAGAAGACTTCAGGCTGATATCATTTAGAAGAACTAAGGAAAACAAGAACATGGCTGATCATTAAAAGTGTCTCATGCTAAATGGCTGTAGTGTTTCGTATCTTTTTGAAGATAGGATCTGTTTGCATAAAAATATCTTAAGGTCTTGCTTGAAATTACAGATGAAAAATTCTAAGAAAATCCAGGTGAACTTTTCTGGGTCAAGAAAATGGGAAATATATGCTTAATTATGGCTAAAAACACATTAAGCAATGGGGTTGAGGATGATAATTTATTAGATTAGAAAATGTTCTGTATTTTCTTGCCAAAATGGATAAATGGACTAAAGAACAAGCAATAAACAGAGGACAAAGACAACTGAAAAATTTGGGTCTTACCTCTGGTTCATAATGAAAGTGTAATTTAAACCACACTGAAAGACCTTTCCTTACAGCTGCATAACAAATAAAAATGTTTGGCATCATTTGTGCTGGTCAGGCTTTGGGAGATAAACACTTTCATACACCGCCTTTTCAAATTCAACAGGGGATATTTTGTTGCTGTTTGCTTGTTTGGCATCATTTGTGCTGGTCAGGCTTTGGGAGATAAACACTTTCATACACCGCCTTTGCAAATTCAACAGGGGATATTTTGTTGCTGTTTGCTTTTTGGAGACCATCTTGGTCTTGTCCAAGCTGGACTCAAGAGATCCTCCTGCCTCAGGCTCCTTGAATAGCTGCGTATGTGGGTGTGTACTATTTGACCCAGTTAGGTATCACATTCTGGGGGTATATTTGGAAGTTAGTATCTTCCAAAATTTACATGTTATGTTAAACCAGTTGTTGGTTTCCATAGAGTATGTCAGTTTCCACAAAGCAGTAAAAATACAAAATGGCATATTGTGTAGGGGCCAGAATCAACTGTGATGTACACATATTATGAGAACGATGCCCACTCTAGAAAGGAATGGAGAAAGGTCTTTACGTGCTGATGTGATGCAATCTTCAAAGCAATAGAAAAATGTTAGTGGAAAGAGTTAGATAGGCCTAACAGATGGCTCAGCTGTTTAGACTCCTGAGGACCCAGGTTCAACTCCCAGCACCCACAGGGCACCTCACGGTATCTGCAGCTCAGGTTCCAGGGAATCTGACACACTCTTCTAGCCTCCTTGGTGCCAGGCAAGTAAGTGGTACACAGATACATAGGCAGTTAAAATACTCACATGTGTGAAATAAAAATAACAACAATGAAACATTTAGAAAGTCAGGGTTATCCGCTACCATTTGCATAAGAAAAGGAGAAGTTTAAAAAGCATGCATGTAACTAAACATTTCCCACACAAACGCTGGAGGCTATGTATTTCCACATGAACCTTGCTTATAGTGTCTCATTTTTAAGATAATATGAATATTTTATAAAGTAAGAAGAAAAATCAATAACCTCCTAAACTGAAAACAAGCTACATTATCAGTTTGGTGATTGTCTTAGTCAGTGTTAAATTGTTTTGAAGAGACACCATGACCAAGGTTACTACTCCTATTGTTAGGAATTAAAGTGAGTGGGTGAGGGACCTTGGTTGATTCCACGGCAGGCAAGGGTGACTGTGGCCGGGGACAAACATGTCAGGCAGACAGAGCTTACATGAGAAGTTTTATTAGAAAGGGAAGGGAGGGGAAAAGAGGGAAAAAAAGTAAAGAGACACAGACACATAGAGACAGAGAGAGGACAGAAGACAAGAAGACAGGAAAGGTCCTATCTGCCCCAGGGGCACAGCGGGAAAGAGAGTGTCAGTGGGCAGGGTCTTTCTTTTAAAGGGGTTCTTTGTACCTGTGTGCAGACTATTGTAGCCATGGACCCCTGGGCTGACCAAGGTACTGCCTGAGTGTATTCTGCCAGGTGACAGGGTCAGGCCAGCATAATGCCTGGATCCTTACACTTATAAAAGCAAGCGTTTAATTGGCTTTGCTTGTTGTAATTTAAGAAAAGAGGCATTCGAGAGAAAGATGTCATGTGATGTTCTTTTTTGTTGTTGTTGTTTGTTTGTTTGTTTGTTTTTTATTAGGGAAAGGGATCATAAAGTCAGGAAAGGGAAGAGGATAGAGGCCTCCAGAGACAGGAGCAGGAGAGAGAAGAAAGAAGGGGAGAGAGAGGGGGAACAGGGGGACAGAAAGAAAGAGAAGGGTGGGAGGTGGGCGGGGCCCTTTTGAAAGGGACCATAGTAAGTGTGCATAGGTGGAGCTCTCGGTGGTTGTAGCTGAGGGCGTATCCCGTCAGAACCCCAAGGACAGGCCAGTACAGATGCTTGGATACTGACACTGCTTAAGTCCTCATCGTGGCGGGGAGCCTACCAGCATGCAGGGAGGCATGGCGATGGGGAAGTAGCTGAGAGTTCTACATTTAGATCTGCAGGTAACAGGAAGAGAGAGACACTGGGTTTGGCGTGGGCTCCTGAAAAATCTCAAAGCCCACCGCCCAGTGGCATACTTCCTCCTCCAAGGTTATAAATCCTAATTTTTTTCAAATAGTGCCACTCCTAGCTGGCCAAGAACTCAAATATATGTGAGCCTATGGGAGCCATGCTTATTCAAACCATTTCAGTAATATAACCTAAAAGAGAAAATAAATCTTTCAAGTGATTGAAAACATAATATATGTTTTTTTTCTTTCTTTCTATGTATCTTATGGACTAGAGAACTTAAAATCACACTCAGCTGGGTAAGGTGCAAACGCCTTAAATTTCAGCGATTAGGAGGCAAACACAGGCCTCTGTGAGTCTAGACCAGTCAGGAATAAACAGTGAGACCCTGCATCAAAAAAAAAAAAAAACAACAACAAAAAAAACCAGTAAAAAACAAAACAGCCATCCCTCAAACAGAAAACTCAGCCCCCAACAAAATCTGAGCAAAACAAAGCAAAAAAGTGCAATGATCTTTTTTAAGAAATGATATTTATGTTGTTGGTTTGAAAGGCAGGCCATCATTATAAATGTCAAACAAATGTACTTTGTAGTATTAAAATTGCATATAAAACATTAGCACAAGCCCGCTGTTTGTTTTCCTCCTTTTGAAGAGTAAATGACTACCCTAGCTCTGTCCTTTGAGAAGCCTATTAGGGCAGAACTCCTGCCCTCCACAGTGTCTGGGAGTACTGTCTCCCTCAAAGGAGTCAGGAACCTCTGGCCTAGTTTGGGGCACTGATGATGTCAGTGTCCAGAGATCAGTTTAGGAGCCCTGAGTATGTGTGTGATGCCTCCTGATTGGCCCAGTGACAATACACAAGGACACCCAGGAAGTATTTTTGCCAAAACTTAAGCAAAGAAAGTTTTGATCTAACTGTAAGTATTCGAAGGAGAACTGGGAAGATCAGCCAAGTGTGGAAAACCATGCAGAACACACAAGCCTGCTTTCCCAGAAGCAAATAATCAGCACTGCAGCTGTGTTCATGGCAGCCAAATTATGGGATGGGCCTATGTGTGTGTCCACATACAAATGCAACACACACACACACACACACACACACACACACACACACTGCAGTATTATTCAGCCATAATTCAGGAGGCTCACACTTATGTCATTTGGAGGGAAACGGATAGAACTGGAGATCATGTATGTGACGAAAGCCAGATGCAGAAATGCAAACATCGCATGTTTTCTCCCGTGTATGGGATCTAACTGTAGATTTAAAAAATAGAAGATATAGGGACAATGAAATAGCTCCACAGATAAAGGCGCTGGCTGGCAGGCCTGATGACCCCTTTGAACCTGGGACTCACTTGGTAGAACAAAAGAACTGACTCTCAACTTGCTCCCCGACCTCCGCATCATGCCATGACATGCGCCCACACACATGCAATATACAATGCATACACACACACACACACCACACATATGTATATACCACGTTATATGTACATATTTGAATATATACAAATACACACAAAAACATTTTTAAAAATATTTTTTATCAATTTTCCTTCATACAATATATTCTGATAGCATTTTCCCCCCCTTTCCCAACTCCTTTCAGATCCCCTTCGCACCTAGCTTTATGTTTTTTTCTCTCTTTTTTAAACTTTCTTTTTACTTATTCTTTGTGTCTTTCACAGCATTCATCCTGATCCCGTTCATCTCCCCGTCCCTTTGTATCTGCTCTCTGCCCTGGCAACCCCTCCCAAATAAAGTAAAATGAAAGAGGAAAAAAAATAAAACGAAAAAAGGGAAATCAGTCTTGTCACGCACGAAAGGAAGCTTTCGTCACACAGCAAGCTCTTTCGTACGTCTTCGCGTGCAAGCGTTTATTGCAATGAGTCATTGGATTGGCTCTAAGCCTCCGGTCTCTGTTACACTGTCGATGCGGGGGCTCTCACCGGGACTCCTCAATATCCCGTGGTTGCCTTGTGTTGTGGAGATCCTGCAGCATTGGGTCCCAATGACCAGGCCCTTTACGTGCTCCAGCACATTATAGATGGGGTGGGTGTCGGGGTGGGCCAACTCATAACCCTGGTTCATGGGCCTGGGTAATCGCAGGGTTAGACATCCCACCAGCTGATGAGGGGCGGGCATAGCTCCTCCCTTCCACGTTTGTTCTAATGACTTCATGCATAGAGGGGGCAGGGGTGGGGGAAGCAATACACACACACACACACACACACACACACACACACACACACACACACACACATGCAAACTTTAAAAATATAAAGAGAACTCTCCTTTCCTCGGCCACTGTGCACCACACCTCTGATTGGGCTTCTTGCCACGTCTTCTCTCAAGACTTTCGGAATTAAAGGATTCCCGCCAAGAAGCAAGAGCAAGAGGGTCCTACTCCATCAACGGATTTGCATGAAAATTAGTGACCACCTAAGGCATAACTCTGAGGGAAGACACTGCAGGAGAGTGAAAGATGCTTCACCTGTAGTCTGCTGGACTCGCACACTGTGGCCAGACCCAGGGTTTGTTCACAATCACTTGTCATTGAGCCTCTCAGAGGGAGCTCAACATTCCTGACCTCTGGAGGCTTGGTCGTGTTTAAATTGCGGGTCTGATTTGCCGTTAGCTGTTCCCCATAGGCTAAAACCGGTTTGTTCAGTAATAAAATAAA